AGGGAAAGACATCCATAACCTTCCTTTAATCTCAGATGGATAGGCCGGATCAAATTGACCGAAGACTTGCTAAAAACACGTACCCCGCAGGTAATATGGGGCCGGTACATACGAGCTTTAGATATGGAACCGAAAATACATTATAAAAACAGAATCGGACATGAAACTGAAAAAAAAGAAAAAATCGAGTGTCGACTCAGAGGAAGCGAGGAAAGACGTACTACGGCCTCGTTTTTTAACTTTTGTCCTGAATTTGAGCGACACTTCATTGGCAGAATGAAGGGGAGCATTGCACGAGTTCACGCCTCGCACCATAGCGCCTTCAATTTTGAAGACGCAACACGGACATCCATCAAGTACGAATAGTTGTATCTCTGCGCCGTCGTCCACGTGCGTCCTTCGCTTGCTCTATTCCCAGATCGTATTTCTGTTTGTCTTATTAGTGGTGGTAATTTGTATTGTTCAAACAGTAAACAACGCGAAATATATCTGAGTCAGCACCTGAATTGAGGTTATCATGTTTTTATACACAAAAGCTGTCACGAAAGCATTTAGTGTGCGATTTGCCTCTAGTAGATTATGGTATTTTTATGAGCGGGAATTTTAAATGGATGCGTAGAAAAGCATCAATATCCGTGTTAGGAGGTTTTTTTTCGTATTTTTTGTTATGAAAATCGTTTTCTAAGGAAAATTTTGATGCGAAAACACGCATGATAATGCTTGAAGTCGTATCTTGTCTCAGTTAAAAGAACGTATTTATGCCAAACGAAACTATGCACTGGAAAAAAAACACATTGGATCTAGAGTCCAGACTCTTAAAAATATCTACAAGTGAAAATACTCTTGATTCAATTAGATTTAAGCTTAAATCAAGGACCAAGCCTCTTAATTTGAGTGGATTCCCTTTTGATTAAAGCTTAATTCTGATTGAATCAAGAGTCCTTTTTCTTGTCAATGTTTTCTAGAGTCTGGACTCTAGATCCAGTTTGTGTTTTTTTTTCCAGTGAGTGCATTAAGACATGAGCCCTGAGACCCATAAGAATATATGCATAACAGGGCTCATGTCATAATGCACACAGTTCCGTTTGACAGAAATACGTCTAAGTGGTGTATTGAAGAATTCGTCGATCCTCTAACGTAAGGGCATATCTCTATTTCAACTTGAGCCCTGTGCTCCGTAGAACTCTATGCTATACGCGGCTCATACGGAAATCAAGATACGCCCTTCCGTCGGAGAAGCGACGAGTCATAGCACGACATTTCATTCTCGCCCGGGAATCCACCCTCTAACGTGCACAATAAGTGCGAATGTAAACTTTTTCCAATATCGCAAGGTGGGACGCTGCATACGTGTTTAAGCGTAATTTATTGTCCCCTCTCCGGAGGAAAAGTGGTCCGAACATTTATTTATCATCCCCCCTCCCTTATCAAGGGGGCCCGGAAGCCGATTTGTCACGAAGGGGGAGGCGCCGTGCGTAAGTGGTGCGCGGAACAGATGTCCGCGATTCATGCACGTCAGGCGCACTCCACCATCGCCACGCGTCCGGACACGTGCCATGCCGCCAAGTTTCGAGAATATTCTCGATATTCTACGGAACTCATTGCGGATTTGTCGGCTAGTTGAGAGAATCTGGCAACGGTGAGGGCTTTACGTACCGAATGCGAGACACTTCAGCGAAACGACGGAATGCTTGTAACGCACTTCCCTGCACTGGAAAAAAAAAACACATTGGATCTAGAGTCCAGACTCTTGAAAACGATGACAAGAAAAAGGACTCTTGATTCAATCAGATTTAAGCTTAAATCAAAAGGAAATCCGCTCAAATGAAGAGGCTTGGTTCTTGATTTAAGCTGAAATCTGATTGAATCAAGAGTATTTTTTCTTGTCGATGTTTTTAACAGTCTAAACTCTAGATCCAATGTGTGTTTTTTTCCAGTGTGGCCCAGTGACCCATCCTTTAGAAGTAGAGTAGATAAAATTTAATTTTTTTAAAGATCCGAAAACGGCTAGGGCTTCAACATAGTCAATAAGCACCAAGAGAGCGAGAAACAAGCTCACGAGCCCGCCAGTCACTTTCCGGTGAGCAGCTCAGCCACTCGATACATTGTATTGAGTAGGGGCCCGAAAAGATCGCAAAGGCGGTATACTATACGCATACGCGCCAAAACAAAGTACATTGAAGATCATCATTGTACGATTCAAAAAATGGGGAGGGGGAGGGTTATGTAGAGGACACTGGAAAAAAAAAACATTGGATCTAGAGTCCAGACTCTTGAAAACATCGACTTAAAAAAGTACTCTTGATTCAATCAGAATCTAGCTTAAGTCAAGAACTAACAATAAGTCTCTTGATTTAAGCGGATTTCGTTTTGATTCAAACAAAAATCCGATTGAATCAAGAGTATTTTTTCTTGCCAATGTTTTCAAGAGTCTGGACTCTAGATCCAATGTGTTTTTTTTTTTCTAGTGGATACTACCTGTCGATGGCCAAAGATATAGCAAGCGGTCTCGCAGATGCCTACATACATATGATTGAATATGAACACTTGAAGAATTACAGATGATTCAAGACCTAAATACACACGGCGATTACTCGCCGCGATTGAAAGACGAAAGCCAATGGAGAGCCTGGATTTCGATCTATTGACGTCGATATATCGAAATCCAGGCTCTTCGTTGGCTTTCATCTTTCGATCGCGGCGATTAATCGCCGTGTGTATTTAGGCCTTCAGCTTCCGCAAAACTTTCTGACGAATAATTTTAGCGCAAAATGATGTAGAGCCTAACGAATTCAAACTTTATTTTGATATTTCAGTATCTCCTTCACCCGTTTACTTGTCCAAGGAAAAAATAAAAAATATGATCTTATCGGTGGAGAAATTATCTTGAAAAGCTCACTCTGTGTCAGCCATGACAGATTTTCGTTTCATGCATATATGTTGTATCCGTAAGCCATTTGCGTTTCTGCGTCAGTTTTAACAATTTGCTTACAAGAAATTTTACTGAGTTCCGTTCTCAATACCTGTGAAATCCATCGTCGAAGGGCTATGACATGGCGTGATCGATATTTTCAAACTTTTTTTTAACGAGTTGTTTTCCGCAACGTTCGGAGTAGTGTATTTTTTTCTGTCTGAACTAATTCTTGATAAAAAAAATCGGCTGTAAACCATGCGAGTTTATTTTCATGTAATATTTTAATCTATTCGAAATGCAACTCTCGGAGCTCTTAATGTACCCACAAAAACGGTCGATCTCGAAAATGGAAAAACAGGAAATTTTTGAAGGTCAATCAGGGAAGATCAAAAATAGAATCTCCTCGTCGTTGTTGTCAACAAAATATTGATGTATATGCCACGCTAGTTGTCAATTTTTTCTAGCTGCTCGCATTCGGAGAGTAGCACTCTCAGGCTAAGGTGTCCCAAAAAAATGTCGATTCTCGGATTTACGTTTCCTGGTTAAAAAAGTGTTCCATTTGGTTAGAAAACACTTTTGGCCAAGTATCAGTTTTTTGGCGAAGTTTAAGCGCTCCCGCATCGCACATTTGTGAATTTTACGGTCCCGATAATTGAGATTTTTGACGATTTGATGATTTCTCCGAAACAGGACGAAACTCTCGGACGAAACAGTCACGCTAGAGCCTCGAATATTTGAGTTAGTAGACTCCTAACACACTATTTTTGACATAAATTAATCATTTTGCCGTGCAAGACGCGCGAGTATTATTTAAAAATTTGGAAACTTGACCGAAAGGCGAAAACCCTATTTAGGCGCAAACATTCAGCGAATTCAATAATTTTTTAAAGTTGGAAGGAATATTTCTATCGTCGTAAAAACTCAGGGTAGTTGAATTCTCGTAGACTACTTTTGATATAAATTACACATTTGAGCGTGCAGGACGCGGGAGTATTTTTTTACAAATTCGGAAACTATACCTAAAACGCTATTTTGAAGCAAACACATTTTGGCGAAAATAGATTATTATTATTTAGATTAGATTATTATTATTTTTTTAAATTTCAGAGAAATACTTACAAGTTAATAGTTAAAAGTAAATAAGTTATAATTTTTCAAAGCTTAGGAACATTTTTCACCGTCAGGAAACGAAACTTCTCGAGGGTCGACCTTTTTTGGGGACACCCTATTCCAGGCCGATATTTTTAAAGCACCATTTTATGCATCAATTCCCTCTCCTCCTCCTTAACACTTTGAGCATCACTTTAAAACTACACTACTTGTAAAGTTGACTTGAAAAGTACGAAACATCTAACTTTGGATTGGCCCCTAAAAACCCAAAATCGGCTCACCCTTGGCCTAAAAATGACCCCCCATGGAGGAGAGCGGTGCTTTTCTCCATAATTTGTGTTCAGTAACAAAATGGACGTAAATTCTCAGTAAAAAGATGGTGCCCTAAGTAATTCGATTTTATGATCTCGAAGCTCGATGCAGATAAACCCGTTCTTCCCCTTTGTATCTTAAATCCAGAAAGGCGGATACAGCAATTTGGCAACACCGAATTTCCTCCATTTAAACGTATGCTAAATAATCGATTCTTGGCGGAGCACCAGACCCCTCCATGAATCGATACATTTCCATAGATTTAAATGAAGAAAAGACAATGTTGCCAATTCGCTGGATCCGCCAATACTTAAATCAACACAGGTTATAGCAATGACAGGAAAAAGAGAGTAAATACAGAGGAGAGTAAAAGTGGCTTTTACATCCTCGATGCTGCGAATGGCCTCACCGACGGCTCCGTAAAGCAATGACGCACTAAGTATCAAAATTCACTTCCGTGATGATCATCGTGATGTGAGACGCAACACAACAGAGTTACAAGAAGGAAAAAATCCATCACTCATGTAAAAGGTTTTGCGAGGGACCTCTCTTTCATGCGAGTACGCGCGTCATGAAATCATTTTTTGATCTTTTTTTAATCCTGTCCCTCTTTAAAACTAACAAGAAGGAGATCAGTGAGATCACTCGTGTGATTAGAGCGGATGAGTGAAGTCACGGTGGCTCCAGAACACACCTACACCAAATTTAACTGAACTTGTGTGATTGCATTTTAAAATGACAAAAAGATTTTTCAACTGAAGTATTTTTTTATTCAGTGACCGCAATACAGCGGGTCCAACATGTTTGCTGCACTAAATTTTCGATGGGTTTTGGTTTGGATCTGCGTTATTGTGTTCGGTTTTGCGACTCAAAGCCCACAGGGGTCGGCTCTGTACGTAACGCAACCGTCCGATGCTACAGGTAACTTTTTTAAAAATTATTTTTCTTTTGATAATTCAAGTTGGCAATTGTGTTCATACTGCTACTAATTATTTTGCAATGTAAAGTTTTCTTAAAATTGAATTTTATGGGTTTCATTTTGTATCGATCAGTACTTATTTTTATTTTAAAGTAGACCTGCCGCACACTAAAGATACAAATTAGCGAAAAGACTTTTTTGAAGTCCAGTAAATCTAGTCTCTAACTTGGAAAAAGTCGCGAAAATCATTGCTATGCAGAAACAGGGTATTTAGGTTCCAAATCAGACTGAAAAAAAGTTTACAAACGCATTCCATCAGGAACATCACCAATTCTTAGTTTTTCCAAATAGCAACTGAGGACGATTTCCAAAGAGTTACCTTTAAATGGGTCTTCTTTTGTTACTTTAAAATTATTGGACAGAGAAAAAAAAATCCTTTGGAACGATTTATAGATATAATACGATTTTCTATCAGAATCGTATTCCATGATATGTTTATGATATGATATGATATGTTATGTTCCATGTTTATATCCATGATAAAAATTAATTGTCTTCCGAGCATGAAATCATCCTCATAGGATAAAAATCGTCCTCCGACGAAGAAATCGTCCACTCTATTTTCGCCCCCGGGGAACGATTTATTTTGGCGCGTATACGTAGTATACCGCCTTTGCGATCGTTTCGACCCCCCCCTCGATACAATAACCGAGTCCCCTAGTTCCTTACCGAAAAGTGACTACCGCGAACTTCTGAGATTTTCCAAAGCGTGTAAAAAGTTTACTAATCCGTCAATAATAATGATTAAAATTTGTTTCTCATTCTGGGGCTCGCTAGTTTATGTGTAATGAATANACTGCTTGTTTACTTTTAAAACTACTACATTATTGAAAATGAAGTTAAATATTAATAAAGAAAGCACGCCTAATAATTTACATTTCTCTTTACATCAATGTAAGATGGTCAACCATGAGTAATCGCATTATGATTGCGAACCTAAGAGAACCTTGTGCGACCTAAGAAATTGAATGTTGTAGAAATATTTACAGCAAGATTTATACCGTGGTAAAGATGCTGTGTCTGCGTCTCTACTGAATTAGCCTAGGAAGAGGCTGTAAATCACAAAAAACAAAAATTGAACTAAAACCGGGACGTTTTTGAAGTAGGAAATGACATTTTCAACGAGAAATCAAAGAAGGGAAAAAAGGAAAGAGGGACAAATGGAATTGCGATTGACGATTCATTTGCTTTTTTATTTTGTATTTTTCCAGTCGAAAATGAAACCGTTAAATTCCAAAACGTCCCGGTTTTTAACTTATTTTTTGAGTTTTGTGTATTAGAGTCATTCCTCAAGTTATGTGTTTGTTTAGTGTATTTGTTGGTTGATAAGGTTGCTCACCACTTTTTCAGCAAAGTTGACGCATCCTCAGCTAAAAACGAATACTGATGATTACTACCTCAACCCGGACGATGACTCCAACAACCAAGATCAAGATCTTCAAGTCAGGGCTAAAACCCCTAAAAGGCAAAGGGACAAGATATCCGCCGCGGCCAGAATCACGAATAGTGTACTCAACATACGATGTCAGACTGGGAAAAAATACCGAAGACCTACCCCCATCTACCCCACATCTACATCTACCCCAGTTCATGAAGGACACCCTGCGGTGGACGAACTGGCGAATCAACTGGCCGGCATTCAACTCAAAAGTTCGTCCGTTTCGTCGTCTGGTTCAAAATCAAAACGCTGCGGTCAGGTCAAAAGCTTCTTGATGATATCTATCAGCAGGAAGTCATCAAAAATTATGAGGTCAAATTCAAGAGGATCCAAGGAGGAACCTGCCAAGGACTCCCCATCAATGATGGACTCTCAGATGGACACCGGATACCATTCAGCTTAAAGTGTAGCCCACACTGAAAACAAAGCATGGCAACATCTACCATACGTCTACCTGTTTTTTAAACATTGAAACTATCTAGTGAAAATTACCAGAATTATAGTGGTATTCACCAGAACTTTTGTGACACTCACCATAATATGGTACACTGAAAAAAAGGATTGCTAATTCACCGATTTAGGGTGAAGCAAAATTTGCTTCACTTCGTAAAGCTTTCTTATCCGTGGACGATGTTGAATCAAGTGAACGACTAGCACGAATTGCTACACCGATTTGCTACATCTGCGCGCCTTCATGCAGTTAATCTTGCATCGAGTGGCTTGGAAGTGTCACTGCATTTTTTGGTATTGGTACTTTGCGAATAGTAAAAATAGCTCAATAGTTAGGCTGAAATAGCGGAATTTACGGAAAAATAGCGAAATTTACGGAAGAATAACTAAAAAGGTAACAGACGTAGCTTTTCAGGTAGCAAAATCACCTACACTCGTGTGCGTAAGTTAGCTGAAATTGGTGTAGCGATTTTACCTGCATGGTTTGCACGTTCGTTTTTTAGCTCATCATGCAGTTGAAATACCCGCGTGCATGGCAATTTCAGCAATATTTTTTTTTCAGTGTAAATGCTACCATGTAGAGTCTGGTGTGAATTAATTGCCAAACTCGGATCACTGTGTCAGAGTATGTTAAAATCTACCATATTTGTTTTCAGTGCATGGACAATTTAACCAAGAGAGGGATATGTTTAATATATATTTAATTTAATATATTAATAATATGTTTTAGCATCAAATGGAGTTCTCTCTTATTTTCGAAATCTATACAGAATCCTCTTTCCTCCGATGAGGCCTTTTCCGGCCTCACCTGAATTTTGGTAAATGTTCCATACTTTCAAAGATGTAGACCTAGAGGTCGGCATATAAATTTTCCCCTCATTTATATGTCAACCTCAATATGTAGGACTACAACTTTGAAAATATGGAACATTCACCAAAATTCAGTTGCGGTCGAAAAAGGTCCTTCACGCTACTCCTCCTTTACACATCATGTGCGGAGGGACGCTCATTACATGAGCATTCTTGGCCATCTTGGTTTGATATTGGAATCAAAAGATTTACAGCAGCATTTTTCTAGTGTTTTTCATGATAGTAGGTTGGCTGTCTTTATGAGCCCTAAGAGCTCCATACTTTAACAGGTCCATGCGTTTTATGGTAGATATACACGCACTGGAAAAAAAACACATTGGATCTAGAGTCCAGACTCTTAAAAACATCGACAAGAAAAAATACTCTTGACTCAATCGGATTTTTACTTAAATCAAGAACCAAGCCTCTTACATTGAGCGGATTTCCTTTTGATTTAAGAAAAAATCTGATTGAATCAAGAGTATTTTTTCTTGTCAATGTTTTCAAGAGTCTGGACTCTAGATCCAATGTGTGTTTTTTTTCCCCCCAGTGCGAGGGCATATGAACGGATTACGCAATTTGACCGGAAAAAATCTAGTTGTCCGATAAAGCGGAAAATTTTTCGGACATGCTTTACTTTGACAACGTGTAAATGTTCAAACGGCAATGCGACGCACACTGGATCGAGTCAATCAGAGAGGTCGGACATGAAATTGTTTACTAAAACTACAAATATTGATGTTTATTTCGTCACATTTTAAATTTTAAGGGGTGTTTCTAGACAAAAATTTCACAAGAAAACCAATGAAACCACTTTCAGAACCTCAAAGTTTTGAATGAACGGAGTCCAAAGCATTTAAAGTTTCCAAATTTTGTCCGACTTCTCCTATTGACTCGGTCCAGTGTGCGACGGGGGCGCTATTCCTCAACACGATAGAAATGAAGTCAACAGTGGCGAGGTGTGAATGACCAATTGGAGTGCATTTTGCAATTTGGAACTATAAGTTCTAGCCCGGTTTAAAAACAACGTATGTGCCATTCGTTTCCCTGTGCACATAAGTGTTTTTTCAGATGAACCAGAATTCATAGTTCCAAATTGCAAAATGCAGTCCAACTATCGATAATTTCCCATTTGAAGTTACGGTAAAGAACAGATTTTCGAGTTGCTCTTTCCAAACACCCCATTTATCGATCCTTTTCCATAGGTTTAAATAGAAGGACAATGCATACATCGCAAAACACGCCGCGCCACTGAAAGTCAAACGGACGTTTGGAGGGAGCAGCCCTGCCGGTATGCATCGGCCTTGCCGCATACCTGAAAACTTTTATGAAATATTCGAGAAACGCAGTTCGCGCAGACAAGGTTTCTTCGTCTTTATTCATAAGAATCTCGAGATTGAGATGGATACTCACTATTCTGAAAATCATAACTCAGGTAAAAAGCTGATATTAAACAAGAAATATTACTTTCTTTGACTCTCTTGCTTTCGGTCCACCCACTTGGAGGCAGGGTTACACAGTCCAACGACGGTGCCGATTTGATCCTATTCTGCCGTGAGGAAAAACACAATGAGAGAAATTAGTCGTCGCCAAATTTTCTTGGATAAAATACTTTTTGTTCAGAATATTTTAAATATTCTTCCTTTCAAAATTTAGGTAAGTAAGAAAAAAATTAAAAATTAATTTCAATCCCAATGACAGGTGTCATTAAGGACCTCTTTTGGCCCTACAACAAATGGTTTAAAATGTTACATGCGCAAAGAAAGTTTCTGCGTGGCAAATTATGCTATTTAATATCGTTACTTTAAGACTCAGACTCACTTTTCACATTGTGATAGATTATGGTGTCAGAGGCCAGGTCTTTTCGATTTTTCCCCTGCGGAAATAGCGAAAGCAAGTTATACGGAAACAGAACTCGGAGTAGGATGCGCGCTGATAACGGCGCAGAGATACAAATATTCCTACTCGACGGATGTCTGTGTCGTATTTGCAAAATTGAAGGCGCGCTAGCGCGAGACCTGAACTCTCAATTTTCCGCTCTTTATGGTGCTGATGAGGTAGCCCGTATCACTCAGATTCGGGAGCATGGTTAAAAAAGGAGGCTTGATTATGTCTCTCTATCTCCGACTATGTTTGCGCTCGATTTTATTCTTCTTTTTTTTTGATGTCTGATTCTTTCTTTATGATGTATTTGTAGACTCATACCTACAGCTCGTATGCAATGGCCCAATAGAACTGGCAAAGCTCGTGTCTTTATCAAGCCTCGGGTCAATGCAGCCCGGCCTGATCATCTAAAGGTTGAGAAGTAAAAAGTACCTTTTGTAACGCACCGCTTTTTGCACTTTGGGGCCACACAATCGCGTGGCCCTTGGGAGTGACCGCACTTTCGAAGACAAATATTGAGGGCTTCTTCGGTAAAAGGATGTGTAAAGCTTCCAATACGGAAGCTTTAAGGTTTCAGGAATTTTCGTCCAATTTTTTTCGTCCTAGAGAATTTTAGTCCAATAAATTCCGCCCGGTACCACTTGGTCCGGTAGGTTTGGTCTGATATTTTTTGGTCCAATCCATAAAAGGGCTCTGCGTTTTAGGTCCAATTGTTTTTGTTTGTCTGAGGTATTAGTGACAAATGAGACAAATATCAACATATGATTTTAATCTCAGTTTTTCACAAGAGGATATGCTACCATAGTGATTAGGAAGGAATGAAGGGCGTTTTTATCTTTGTCTAACCTCTAAGACACTTACGTATGGGTCAAAGTAATAAAGAGGGCTAAAAAATGTTGGAAAAATCGTCTTTTAGACCAAACTAACTACTGGACAAAAATGTGAAATGGACCAAAAGAATTGGATACAAAAACATTGGACAAAGATTTTTATAACCTCCAATACTGCTAAGATTGTGCAACGAAGGTCTTTAATTACATGTAATCTATTTGAAAACTCTGCCATGAATTTTTTATTTAATCTGCTCCGAATTTTTCCTCGCTGCTGTGTGGAGCAAAATCGATTGTGAGCGAATTTCATTTGCTGCAAATGCTATGGAAAATGGCTCAATCTTTGCGGTATTGCAAGCCTTTTACGCTATTTTACCAAAGAGGTCCTCAGTTTCCTACCTTCGGGGTATAGTACGATTTTTACCAGAAGAAATTTGGCAACATACGAAAGTCCATACAGCGTTTTTCTACGGCACGGTGGTATTGACCCATGAGACTTTCAAGTACTGAGTTACAATTTTCTCATGTTTCAATAAAGTTGCATTACCTCAACTGGCAATAAGTTGGCGTCGGAATCCGATGTGGAGTTTTGTCTCTCCACGACTGCAACTCGTTTCTCGGTAATCTCTCGGCTACCGAGAAATGAGTCCTCGAAGATACCTACTTAAAGATAACTCGTCGTCTCCCGCACGAAGGAACGTAACTCTATTCCAAGGTTGCCAAATTGACTCAAACAATTAATTTATTTTACAAAAATGTACGTAAGCAATTTGAGTCCAAAATATCTCTGTTTTTTGCTTGGAATCTAGAGAAAAATCAGGGAAATTTCCAGTCAGAAATGCCCAAAATTCTCGTGGTTAATAGGTAATTTGTGAGGGGAAATTTGGCAACATTGGAATGGAGTTACGTTCTTTCGTCCGGGAGACAACGAACTGGGACGTGAATCACAGCTAGGGCATCTTTGAACTAAAAAGGAAACCCCGAAAAGAAGTCAGCGTACTTGGAAATCTCATGACTGTCGTGTTGAAAGCACACAAGAAGAAACATCTTTCCTTGATGTTGAACGATTTAATATTAATTTTGAAGACTCCGGACGGATGAAAGAGATTTGTTATATCATTTTCGGTCCAAAAAATAGTTATTGCCCTTTTTTTTTAAACCCACCCTAGACAGTTTTGCTGGATTTACAACTTGTGCGAATACGAAGTACGAAGTTGAAGTTATACTTACTTAGTAGATAATACGTACTTTTTGGAATATGACTATATCTTGAATATAATTTTATTTAAAAATAAAAAAAACACGTATAAGTTTTATTGTAGTAAGATGCAAGGCAACTGAGATTGAAAACAATAAGAAAAAAGAAACTTTATTTTCAGCCTTTTTACGACCCCAATTGTAAATTTTCCTCTTATTTGTGGGTATTTTCAACTGATGCATTTTTTTTTAAACCCCTTTTGTATTCACCAT